TGAATCCAACATAAATAATTTAATTTGCGATTGATCACAGGCGAGAGGGATTCATTTTGGATCGGGCACTGTCTCTGCTGTATCATCACGTTTATTAGCTAAATGCATAGAGAATAAACTTTGATTACTTCATAATTTGCATATTCAAAATTCTATGTAAATATAGTTACTGTTGTGCACTGTTACGATCACTAGCTAATCACATCCTGAAATCTTATAAAAGGGTTTATAGGCAACATTTTAAGATAAAGTTTTTTGTCGATTGTGACTTGGTACTAAATCATTTAGGTAGCGTTCACATTAAAACAACGTTTTTTCGATTAGTCAAATGGACAATTTTTTGTGGGAGATAGAGACGTTACTACGTGTACGTAAACTTAAAATTTTCAATTAAGAATAGATTTCAATATACATAATGCATAATTTTTAAAATAAGTTTGTCAAAAATCTTTTTTAAGTTATTTTTTATGGAGTCATACAGAGAAGATCCTTGTTACGACGGTTGGATATATCAATATGGCAATGATAATGTTGAAAAGAGTGCTGAAATTAGTAATTTTGGAAGATGGCCATTTATTCGGTGTAGAAGAGAACCGAGATAAGTTCAAGAATTGGTTTAAGAAACTGACTTAATTGATAAGTATACGTATTTGAAGGAACGCGATAAATATACCATAGATAAATGCGAATATTGCAATGAAAAGTGCACTTCTTTACTTGGTGTCAAACGTGTAGTCCAGATAGAATGATCTTGAAATGGGCAAGTGGAAATAAATATATTGATGATTGTATAAAAGAATTCCAACTTATAAGCAATAGTTATAAACGTTTGATTGAATGGATTCCTTTTTGATAGACTAGGTAATATTGAATAAATTGGTGAGGGAGGATTTGGCTCTATTTATAAAGCGATTTGATTAGATGGCATTCGAAATTATAAACACGATGATAATTATGATAGTTATCATCAATATATGTATGACGGTTATCATCAATACATGGAAGTTCGTAAACCAAGTACTGTTGCACTTAAGACTTTAACTAACGAAGAAATTGCCGATTTTTTAAAAGAAGTAAGTATTCAAACTGTTAACATTTATTATAATTTGTTTCTTTTTTTTCTTTACAAGTTTAAAGTTCATACTAGTTTTGGATTGTATTATGAAGCATGTAATTAAGTGTATGGATTAACTCGGAACACAGAAACCAATGAAGTTATGATGGTGTTTTAGTATGTTAACAATGGAAGTCTAAATATTTTTTAAAGAAAAAATTTTCAAGAACTTCTATGGAAAACTAGATTAAATATACTTGTTGATATTTTAAAGAATTTACTGTTATCCACGAAGCAGGATATGTTCACTCGGATTTTCACAGTGGAAATATTTTACAAAGTGTAGTAAAGAATCAATTCAAATCTTATATTTCTGATTTAGGGTTAACTAAAAAAAAGGAAGAAAATAATCCTGGTAAAATATTTTGAGTTATGCCATATGTTGCGCCAGAAGTATTACAAGGAGGAAAGTTTTCACAAAAATCTTATATTTATGCTTTTGGCGTTATAATAGTTGACTTTTGATAACCATAGTGATTTAGGTGACTTAATCACAAGTCATTTGTCACTCTCAGATATTAGATTGCTAATAGCTTAGATATAAATATGCTATAATTTAATAAGTAGCTATGTGACTAAATGATAATGACACAAATACAACATGACAGGATGACTAAGTTATTAAGAAAAAAATCCAAATGACTTAGTCACTGTTACTGATAATAAAATCGGTTCTTATGAGTTTTCATCAAGTCGAACTAATTGAGATTAATTTTTTTTTTAAATTACGAAGTTTACAATTCAAAATTTCATATATAAACCATATAAAATTTGTAAATTTGACTTTTAAAAAAAACCTAACTATAATTATTAATAGTTATTTTAAAAGCAATGTAAAATAAAATATTATTTTTATAAAAAAATATAAGGTTTAGATTATAACTAATTTTCGTCTTAGGTGATATCATCCAATATTATAAAAATTTTATTACAAGTAAATAAATTTAATGTTAGAAATTAGAGTTAGTTTTAGGTTAAAAAGTTTTGCTTAAAAGTCAAAGATGGTTTTTATAATAAAATATTGAGTTATTTAAGTTTTTTTATTCACTTGTTTTGGTTATACAAGATTCAGTGATCTGATACAATCAGGTGATATTACCTAGAATAAAAATTTGCAATAATTATTTCAAATAATTTAATATTTATATGTTTTTTAATTTTTTTTAATTTGATTTAGTTCTTTTTTTCTTTTTATTTCTTTATAAAAAATATTATTAGTTTGGTAATATCTAATTGTAAAACATAATAAATAATCTCAGGTTTGATTTATCAGTCTGGTATAACAACCATATGTGAATACTTTAAAAAGCAACTGTATAACATTAGATATAAATAATTTAACTTGAAAATTTGTACAATATTTTAAATTAAATGATATTAATATAACTTGCCTAAGTGAAATATATATGTATATCAAACTAAACTTTTTAAGATTGTTTAATTTAATGTTTTGGTTTTTATTATATATTGTATTAATTTTATTATAATATGAACATAAATCTTTAAGCTTTGATTTTATAGTATTAATATTACTTTTATAATCTTTTTTAATTAATTTTTCATTCAAATTTTTTAATTAATCTGAGTTTTATATATGTTTTTTTATAAGTTGTTCATCAATCATTTGATTTTAGTATTTTAATTACTATTTTTGTAATATCTATTTAAAATAAAACTATTTGTGCAATTTTTGCATTGTTTTTGTTATAAGCTTGCCATTTATATAAGCACTCATTGCTACTTTTTTGTTAATAATAGTTTGATTTTCTGGATTTTTAAAAAACATGACCATTGCAAGGTTTTGACCTTTAACAGTATGCATAAAAGTTCTTTTTAAAAGCATATTAAATAATAAGTTTTGTAAATTATTAAGTTATATAAAAAATATAAGCAAAGGTTCAATAATTATAAAAAATTTAAGTGAAGATTCAATAATTATAAATAATTTAAGTAAGGGTTCAATAAATAAAAGTGAAGGTTCAATAAATTATAAATAACTTAAGAAAAAATATTTAAGAAGTTATTAAGATTCAAGAAGTTATAAAAAATTAAACAAAGATTAGATAAGTTATGTAAAAAAATAATTTAAGCGAAGGTAAGCAAAGATTCAATAAGTTATGTAAATTATATAAAGTAATTTGAACGAAAGTTTTATTATTTATGCTGTATTGCTATTAAATAATTCGATCTACGTAATGATAATAATAAAAAAAAAGGTTACTTATTTCATCAAATAGGAGTTTCCGGACACTCCCATTTCATTTTCCGATTTCAGACTTTTGATTCACAAATAAAAATTTTTAAACTCGCATTTATTTCCAAAATACGTGTATATATTTATATAACTCGCTAAATTAATTACGATAAGAGATTTATTGTATTGTATATTTGCTAATCTATGATAAGCAAAAACCCTGTGTGATATATAATACTTCTTAATTAATCTAAAAATTTAGCAGCTTCATTCCACAATATTCTAGGATCCCTAGCATTTTGATCATTGTAATAAATTCTATATTTAGCAGGTCTATATAAAAAGTCTAAAACCTTATTTGGTTCGTTAACACTATATGACTCAGTTGCAGTAAACTGAAGCTCGCCTGATAACGGGAAGTCAGGGATACCATTGATTTTAATAGATTGGCTATCGTAAGAAAGAACTTCCCCACCAACAAAAGAAGAATATGATAAGGGAGTTTTATAGAAACCGCCGACAGCGACAGTTGGAAATTCGCCTATCTCAACTAGATATTGAGCTGTTTGTGCACAAGCAGATCCACAAAATCCATTAGTTAAAATTATAGTATTGTGTTTTGTCCACTTAAGTTTTGGTTTATCTTTAATTATATCTAAGAGTTCGTTATCAAGTTGAAAAGTAAATTTGTTAGAATATCTTGAAGTTGTATTGCCTCTTTCAATAAAGTTGTTGCCTATGAAATCTTTTATACTAGAAAATTTTTTTCCAGAGGGGAATGAAATATCATCGCTTATATCGAGGAGACCACCAGGATTTAGCATTTGCTTAGTAATATTTGTAATCTTTACGTCGTCTGGAAAAAAGCCGTTTGATGGAAGTAGGAGTGCACATATGACCTGGGCCGAGCCAACAAAACCACCTTCATTATTTGATAAATCTATAACAAGCTATTAAAAGTAAAAATTAATTTATGTAACGAAAGTTATATATTATTTCTTTGTAAAATTTTTTATACCTTTTTAGCCTTATTGGATAAATATTGAAGACCTTTCTTCATATCAAGTAATTTTTGAGTTCCAAAACTGAAAGTTCCAATTCTTGCAATACCAATGTCACCAATCAAGCGAACATCAACTTCTTCTCCTGGTTCTACTCTTGGATTATCTTGGTTAGGTAAACAATTTTGTTCAAAATAGCTTTTAGTATCTTTAAAATCATTTACACCCACGGAAAATACACTCCATTTTCTGACTAAAGGGCGTTTTTTTCCAGAACATGATAATGTATAAGTAATAGTAGGGGTTTCTGGTAAATCACGTCTATTTACAAATTGATCAGTTCCTTTAGCGCTAGACCAAGAATCGAATTGTTTAGAGAGAGAAGTCAATGCTAAATTAAATCGGACACCTAGATCTCTTGAGCCTACGACACTCTCATTAGCAAATTTTTTGATTACTTTTAGAGCATCCTGACCATTTATTTCTATTACTTCGCAACCCTTATTTGATGGTTCTAAATCGTCTTCCATGATCTAATTGATATAAGACTATTTAAAAATAATAATATGTTTGCATACTAATCACTGTGTAACATAAAAAGAATATGTACCTTAATTTTCTGTTATTGTGTCGAATAAAGTAATTATCAATTAGCTTTCAAAATAATTAATCTAACTCACATACGAGAATAGTTACCTGCTGATTATTCTGTGTGATTGAATACAGGCTTAAAGATTGTGAAAATGAGAATTTGTTATAACAGTTGATGTCCATATGCGTATGTGCATCTTTTAATTGAGAGATTAGGTTCCTTATGGTCGTCTAATTATTTAAAGAACCGCAGATTAATATTTTATGTATGACTATTCAGAATGTAATGAAAAATGGGTTAAAGTACAACCAAAGACCAATCAATACATACTATGAATTCAAAATCAGATTTATAATTCCTGTGACGTAATGAGTTTAGTTCTTTTTTCAAGTCTATAGGTTCAAAACTAAAACCATTTTCTGGGTTTTCTTTAGCTTGGTCAAGAAAAGGATAAAAATTTGACATAATCCCTTCTGTTACATCAATCAACTTTTATGAAAATAATTTGAATTAATATATACACGTCCAATACATGCTAATTAAAAATTATATTAATGATATTTACTTGTTTTGCTCGTTTATCATCATACTTAATTCCTTCGTAACATGCTTTAACATCTTCATAACTAGGCGATTCAAGGTTTTTGGCTAATCTCGTACATCCATCTTTTACTTCTGATCGTGGAACGAAATAAGCCTCTGAAGGCAATAAATAAAGAATCGATAATATAATGAAAAGTACAATTTTATTAAGTGTTTTAAATTTTGAAGTCATTATTATTATTATTATTATTATTTTGATTTGAAATATTTTTATGTATACAATTTACCTTTTTAAATCAAGGTTTAACAATTTCTATTAAATTTTAAAATCCAATGAATGATTCGCATTAATAAAATGTTTTATTAAATATTATCATTTTTTATTTCGAATCGTCATGATCCCTGAAAATCTTTAGCATATAAATTCATAGTACGAATATGTAATTTTTCAAAATGAAAACTTTTAAATTATTGTGTAATAGTTTTTAATATCGAATTAAGAATGATTTTATCTCGAAATTTATTTATAGATTTTCAAATTGATAATTTCTCAGCGGCTTACTCTAATATATGTACGTTGAAATTCAGCATCAAAATTGTGGACGAGCGCACATTACATATATGTCTTGGCACTGTAGTGCATATAATTTTTTTTAAAATGTCCTTTAATATATGTATAAATATCTATTATTTTATAATTATTTTATTATGTAATGATAAATATTAATTTCCTAATTATGCGTATCAATTTTTAACTACGTATAACGCATTAACTAATATTTATCATATATGAATTTAAAATTTTAATTTTCGTATTCCACCTATAATCCTATGTGCGTGAAATGCACACATTGTTAATCTTTATTGTACGGAAGAATTTTTTACAATGATTTGCAGATTTGGTAATTTACAACTTTATTAACAAAATTTAGTCCATTTAATATTAGAGTAAGGCTAATTTTAGAGCTTAGTGAAAAAACGTAATTTATACAAAATTTGTACAAGGAATCCTTTTAGTTAAACCAAAAAAGTAATTTATTTATAAATTTGAGAAATAATAACACCCATGTAAATATACGTAATGTTACGAATATAAATTCTCTTTCAGATTTCATAAATGTTTTCTATATTATTTATAGTACTTGCTGATCGGATTTTTAATGGATTTTACTAGTAGTGAAATCGGGCGAGTCAGTCGCTCCACAATCCAAAACTTCGTGTAACCTACGGTTGGCTTAGTCGAAAAGAGGCGTTTAGATTTG